TGTGTGTGTGTGTGTGTGTGTGTGTGTATGTGTGTATACATATACATGCTTGCCCATTTGGAAAGTACAAATGAAAAATATGGCTTTGTTTCAGTCTTAATGCATTGTATAATTAAGCTTTTGGTCTGACTCAATATATTGGTGATGATAAAATTATTCATCCTTATTTACATATTCTGGTTTGAATTATTATTAAAAACATACATGTATCTATGCTTTTACATAAATGCTGAACCAGTTCCCATAAACCTGTAAGTAATATTCTAAATTTCAGGGAAAAAATGGTATGGAAAACAATGGCATAATTCCTAAATAGTCTTTGTAAAAGTGTTTTTAAAAGATTTTTTTAGGGGCGCCTGGGTGGCGCAGTCGGTTAAGCGTCCGACTTCAGCCAGGTCACGATCTCGTGGTCCGGGAGTTCCAGCCCCGCGTCAGGCTCTGGGCTGATGGCTCAGAGCCTGGAACCTGTTTCCGATTCTGTGTCTCCCTCTCTCTCTGCCCCTCCCCCGTTCATGCTCTGTCTCTCTCTGTCTGAAAAATAAATAAACGTTGAAAAAAAAAATTTTTTTTAAAAACTAAAAAACTTAGAAAAATGATTATGGAAAATTTCAAGCCTATATAAAAAGTAGAGGAAATAATGTAATGAATTCATGTGAAACCATCATCCAACCTCAATAATTAGACTTAATGACACATTTTGTTTTATCTATAGTCCCGCCTATTTCCCACCCCAAATCATTTTTAGGCAAATCTCAGAGATCCTATTATATTTTTTTGATCATATTTCAGTTTGTATTGTAAAGGCCTTTTTTGAACGTAACCACAATACCATTATCATGCCCAAAATAATTTAACAATAATTGCATAATACCACATACTCAGTCAATGTTCAAGCTTCACCAATTGTCTCATCATTTCTTACTGTTTATTTGTTTGAAACAGGATCCTAATAAGAATTCATACAGTGCTATTAGTTGATATAGCTCTTAAGTATCTTCCTCTGGGTTACTCTTTCATCTTTCTTTACAATTTATTTGTTGGAAAATTAAAAGAAAAATAAAATCTAGTTACTTGTCCTGATGGGTTTCCAACATCCTGAACTTTGCTGATGACATCCCTATGGTGTCAACTAGCATGTTCTTCTGTCCCCAGTATGTCCTTTGAATTGGTAGTTAGATATAGAGGCTTGATTAAATATAATTCAATATTTGGGAAGTATACTTCATAGGTAGTAGTATGTATTCTTTGAGGAGGCTCTGTATAATAGGCAGCCAATGAAGTCACTTCCTAGACCCATTAATTAATTAGAGGTTGCAAAATGATGGCATTCTAATTATGTTGTTCCTTCTTCATTTATTGGCTGGAATAATTCTGTAAAGAGTAACTCCTTATCAACTCTTTAGTTACCCTAAGATACAGCTCAAATAAGAAAGGCAGAATAACTGCTGATTTGCTTGTTTATTGGTTTTCAAAATGATGAGTTTTTTTTTTTTTTTTTAATCATCCTTGACAAGTACCTTTATGACTCCTGGATTTAACTTATTGGAGATATTTCAATCTATTATAATTATTATTCCTGTCAGTTCTCGAATTGCCCCATTTTAAGCCAGTAGAAGCCTCTTGAAGTCAGCTCCTGAATGCTTTGGAAACAATCCTGCTAGATTTTGATGGCTTATTTTCTGGTATGACAAAATGTTCCGGGCTTACCCTATACTTTTCCTATTCCAAACCTGGAATTTCTCTAAAAAGTGTTTCTGTTTCTCTAAAAAAGTGTTCATCTGTTCTTTCTGTATTATTTGTAAATAAATGCCCATCATATTAATGTAAATTTAAAAAGAAAGGAAACCTTAAGTTGATACCCCCAATCCCTCAGAGAAATTGTGAGTTCTACACATCTCTTTCCATTTATGGGTTGACATGCCATACTCAAAAAGGAAAAAAGAAATAATTTCATATTTGAAAGCATATATTTGAATCAAGTTGTAAACATTCACTAGAGATTTGGGGGTTTTAGGATTTAGTATGACTGTCAATAACTAGCTTTCACCCAAACATTCTATATGTTAGGTAATATATTTTTTCAGATGAAAGCATTCCTCTATTTCTTTTGTTTTGAAAAGTATGTGGATGGATGCTTTGTGTACAGAAATTTTTATCAAATCTGAATCCTTTCAAAGACCCAAATGTAACTGCTAAATCAGAATAAAGATTATTCTTTCCCTTTCCAGTGTAGTGTTTTACTGCAGGATCTTTACGAAAAGTGATAGTAACAGTCTGACAAGTCTATTTCAGCAAAAGGAGCCATTGATTAGCTCATTCCCCAATTGTCAGGATGTATCATTTAAGAAACAAAGTTCTTCAATCCTCTCATTCCTAGAGTAGATCTAAATTTTAAGGCAAATACTGAATAAACCTAGCCTTTCAATGTGATGATAGCCTAAGCCTTCCAAACCAGCATAGACTGAACATCCACTCACCACCTCAGTCCAACTGACTTTCTGGAATTAACCAATCTATCATAGTGCTAAAATTCACATGATCATATACTAGAATTTGCCTTACCAAGTACTGTGGAATACTGTACTGAAAGTTATAACTCCCCTCTACCCACTATACCACCTCCCCTTTAAAGAACAATCAAATTTGTGACAAGTATTCTTTGTGCATTACAACTATCAACAAAATAAATTTGGATTAAGTGGCAGTAACATTAAAAATAAATTACATACTAAGGCAGTTGTATTCATAAAATTAAAGGTTTCAAACACACATGGTTATGAAGTACATTAAATTTAATATTTCTGACATAGACCATGCCCACATCCTGTCTTTGGTTCTTTAAATAACTTTTATAGGTTGTTAGGACTTTTGACAAGGAAACTATTTCAATAATATAGGAAAATGTATAGTTAAGTAGTACCTTAATCTTAAAAGTTATTCTAAGAACTTCTAGATCTGACTTACTACTTTTGTTTTAGTTCATGAGGATAAAAATATTTGGGTTTTTTTTAAGCTTTTGTTTAAATTCCAGTTAACATACAGTGTGATATTTCAGGTGTACAGTATAGTGACTCAGCACTTTCATATTACACCAGTGATCATCACAATAAGTGCACCTTTATTCCCCATCACATCAACTATTTAACCCATCCTCCCCCACCCACCTCCCTTCTGGGAACCATCAGTTTGTTCTCTATAGTGAAGGGTCTGTTTCTTGGGTTGCCCCCCCCCTTTTTTTGTAACATAGACTTAAATAGATGTATTTGCATGCCAGATATTGTGTCAAACATTTGCTGGTTATATTTAAATTATATTTTCTTAGGGGCGCCTGGGTGGCTCAGTCTGTTAAGTGTCCGACTTCGGCTCAGGTCACAATCTCGCGGTCCTTGAGTTCGAGCCCTGCATCAGGCTCTGGGCTGATGGCTCAGAGCCTGGAGCCTGCTTCCGATTCTGTGTCTCCCTCTCTCTCTGCCCCTCCCCCGTTCATGCTCTGTCTCTCTCTGTCTCAAAAATAAATAAACATTAAAAAAAAAATTTTTAATTATATTTTCTTAATTCTGCTTTGTTTCCTGTTGCTATTTGCTGTCAATTTTGCTTTCATTAGCAACAGCTGTGGAGGGCAGTCTTTAGTAAAGTGTTTTGAATCTAGTCTTAGCTTAGTTTACCCTCTTATTTGGGCAAGTACCAATGACCAGCCTTCTCATTTGTGTCCTTACATCAACTATTAGATCAACTATATACCAAGGGCAGAAAGAATGGGAACCATTCTGTTACCTATTTCTGCATCTTTGCTTATTTTTCTGTCCTTAGTGATTTCTCATAATCAGTGTCACTGTGTACACTGTGTTTCCTAATGTGTGCGCTCTCATCTTCTCTGTTTTCCTCTGCTTACCTGCCTTCCATCCTTCCCCTCTTCCTTCCTTCCTCTCATTTCCTGCTAAGCCTCCTTTCAGTCACCCTTTCTGAATTTGCCAAAGTATATTTTTACAGTTTATTGAAAGCTTTTCTTATTCTTGTTTATAATGTGAGAGTCTGTGAGTAGAATAGTTTTGACAGATGGAATCATATAGGCTATTGGTAACAAAAATAATTCTGATAGGGGTTTGGGCCTATTTAATAGTGTACTTTTTAAAAAATCATGAAACTTTCTCCCTGAGAAATATATACGTACAATTTTATTTATTTGGGTATACACAGAGCATACACAGATTCAGGAAAGGATATAATACTTAATAATAATAACAGATAACACATGATAGTTTATAAAGTATTTCCAGATCTATTGTATCTTGTGAAAAGATAATCTTATAAGGCAGTTAATTTTATAATTATCCCCTATTATTAGCTTTAATTACAATTGAGAAAACTGAGGTCCAGAGAAGTTGTCTTACTTAGAGCTAGTGACCAAGCCAAGTTATATACCAAAGTCTTCCGACTTTCAAAATCTACACTCTTTTTTCTACACCATGATACTGAACCACTTTCTACTTTCCTGATTCCCTTTATTCCCCACCCTACCCCACCCCCACCCTTTCTTTTTCTTTCTTTTCTTTATTTTATTTTTTTTTTAGGGGAATGATTGGATGATATGGTTGTTCTATTTTGAGGTTTTTTTAATGTTTATTTATTTATTTTTGAAAGAGAGGGCACAAGCCAGCGAGGGGCAGAGAGAGAGAGAGGGAGACACAGAATCTGAAGCAGGCTCCAGGCTCCAAGCTGTCAACACAGAGCCTGATGCGGGGCTCAAACCCACGAATCATGAGATCGTGACCTGAGCCAAAGTTGGTCACTTAACCAACTGAGCTACCCAGGTGCCCCCCACCTCCTTTTATATTTTTCTATTCTTTTTATCTTCAAGCTGTCCTACGTCTATCATAAATTTAATTAACTTTTATCATTTTAGTTTTCATTCATCTCAGGAGAACCTGGTTTAGTTAACTGCTACTCATCAAATGTTCAAAGCATACCATATTCTTCTGATTATAGCAACAGAAGTAAATCCCTGTAACTGAGATTTAATTATTCCTGATTTTTTTTTATAATAGAAACTCCGAGAAAAACAAAAAGCTGTACGAGAAAGTCATGGTCCAAATATGAAACAAGCGAAAATGTGGCGTGATTTTGAACAATTGATGGAATGTAAGAAACAGTGCTTTCTGAAACAACAAAGCCAAACTTCCATTGGTCAGGTAATTCAGGAGGGAGGAGAGGACCGGCTGATACTCTGAATTCATGTGCTATCGTTTAGGGTTTTAGTTGATGCTACTAGATGTAAGCATAATCCCATAATGTATTTCTCTTCTTGAAAATGATTTGTACAACATTTTGCTTTCAGATTAGCCATTCCCTATTAAGTTTTCTTGGAAGATAAGATTAAGGTAGATTTAGGTTTTAAAGTTTTTTAAAAATAAAAACCGCTTTTATTGTTTTGCTTAGTTTAGATATCAGTCGTGTCGTCTGAGTTTTATGAGACAGGAGACTAAGTTTACTCTCTGTAAATGTAAACATATGTCTTTTAAGAAGCATGTAGTTTTTAAAAAATGTAATAACCCAATGGCTTAAAGTTCTTCTTAATCTTTTTTTAACTTTAGAGGAATCTTTTAGGAACTAATATCTCTTGTTTTGAAGAAACATTTATCTGAAGTTCAGCAATTCCTACAGTTTCACTTCAGTTTCTCTTTCTTCTGTAAAATTCAAGAAAATTTACTATTTTGAATAACATACTTGTTCTGACTGTATGATTTAAAAGCAAATAAAACTTGGTGCACATGTCATGGCTATTTGTTTTTGAATTATATAGTTGCATCAAAATTATTTTTTAAGTATTCATTTTATAGTATTGTTTGTTTATTTATTTATTTCTGTTTTTGAGAGAGAAAGAGAGTGTGAACAGGGGAGGGGTAGAGAGAGAGGGAGAGAGAACCCTAAGCAGGCTCCACACTGTTAGCACAGATCCCAGTGCGGGGCTCGAAATCACAAACTGTGAGTGAGATCATGACCTGCGCTGAAATCAGGAGTCTGATGCTTAACCAACTGAGTCACCCAGGTGCCCCTCATTTTATAGTATTGTATTAAATTTAAGGATTAGTTGTTATTTTTACCCAAAATCTAACAGTATGAAAAATAGTCATGGAATATAGATATTATCATGTGCTAAAAAGTTAGCATAGGATTCCAAGTCAAATTCAAGAGTCCAAAGTGCTTCTAATTTCTGCTTCATTTGGACAGGGTACTTGAAGGTTTCTTTGATTTTCCCTTAAAGAAAATTATTAAATTCACATACTACCCTTAACTTCACTTCAGCTTCATTATACTTTTTTTAAATGTCTTCCCTTTAGATTTGAAAACAGATTTCATATTATTAGCATGTGCATCTTGGGTTAGTTCTTTGTAGCTATCCTAGGGGTGGCGATGAGAGGTGAAGAACATTTCAATGAAGAAAGTTGTTTCAGGGCGCCTCGGTGGCTCAGTTGGTTAAGAGTCCGACTCTGATTTCAGCTCAGGTCATGATCTCATGATTCGTGAGTTCAAGTCCCACGTTGGGCTCTCTGCTGTCAGTATAGAACCTGTTGGGATCCTCTGTCCCCCTCTGTCTCTGCCCCTCCCCTGCTTGCACACGCTCACTCTCTCTCCCTCTCAAAAATGAATAAACATTAAATGATTTTTTTTAATTTTTAAAAAATTGTTTCTCCCCTGTGTGGAACATACAGACTTGATTATGGCTTTGGATCTCTTTGTTTCCAAGTGTGTTCCTACTTTTACTTTTTTGTTTGAAAGCTCCTGGTTATCAGAGAAACATACCAGCACAGAGATTATTGGTAACTCTAGCAGCTATGGCAAGAAGAGATGGGATCCCTCAGAGCAAGGAAGAACTTACCAAGAAAGTGTGGAAACAAACTTCTTTTAACAAATTTCAAGAAAAAAAAAAAAAGGAAGCATTTTAATGTTTTATGTGGTTTGAATATAGTACTCAGGTTACTTTAGCCTCTCATTTGGGCAAGTATCAGCTACCAGAATACCAGCTACCATTTGTGCCTTTGGATCAACAACTTGATCCACCAGATACTAAAAGAGGAAAGGCTGTGTTTCAGTGTGGAAGCAAACCTTTCTTAATTCAGTCAGTTTCTGAACATTGAGGTAGACGTCTTTGTTCAGTATTGGCTACTGGCTTGTTATTTTGAAGCCTGTAGCAAGTGATGTTCCTTTAGCCAGAGTATGTATTCCTTTGCAAATATTTGAAAAAGACTGGATGTCCTTCACAGAAACAGCATTTTATTCCCCTAATGAAAGTCAGCTTGTAAGATTATTAAGCTTGGTGATTAATTTTTTTAGCCTTTACTGTCTTTGGTGCTCTTCCCTTAATTTTTAAAATTGTTAATGACAGATACTCCAAGGAATGCTTGTAATTCTTTTTTTTTTTTTTAACGTTTATTTATTTTTGAGACAGAAAGAGACAGAGCATGAACGGGGGAGGGTCAGAGAGAGGGAGACACAGAATCTGAAACAGGCTCCAGGCTCTGAGCTGTCAGCACAGAGCCCGACGCGGGGCTCGAACTCACGGACCGTGAGATCATGACCTGAGCCGAAGTCGGCCGCCTAACCAACTGAGCCACCCAGGCGCCCCGGAATGCTTATAATTCTGATTTGATTATTGCTTGCCATCTTATTCCACACAGAAAGAGTGTGTGGATTAAACACTAAGGCAGCTCCAAAATCACTTTATTAACTGAGGCAGAGCATCATTATTACTTCAAGAAAAGCAAATTGAAAAAAAAAACACCCTAAAAGTACAAAGTTATTTATAGTTTTTATGTAACATTGGACATTTAGTAATGCATCTTAATGGGTTTTCTACAGTGACTTTCCACTCATTTTGTGATTTGATTGGAACATTAAAAAGCTTTGACTACCTCTGACAGTTTTTGACAGCTGGCACTTCCAGAAGGGCTTATTATGTTTTTCCTTCAGGACTAATACTCTAGCTGGCTAATTGATGAGAGTACTTAATCGTTTTGGAAAATAATCTGTCTTCCACATGATGGCCCAAATAAAGGAGAAAAATGTAGCCTGTGAAATCTGCTTTTGCGTTCATGGATTTGCTCCTCCTAAGACTCGGTGCTGCCAGCTGCTGCGTGAAACTGACTCGCTAAACTGTAAATTCCAAAAGGCCACCGCTTATCTTGCTTTCTGTATTAGTTCAGGAAATAATCCAACTTTAAAGGTTGTCCTTTAAGAACCATCTTATAATAGGATAATGTCTTTTCTGTTATAAGTCTATTAACTGAATACAAGATCATGTCTTTTTCAGGTCCAGGGAGTGTACCAGAATGGTCTGAGAGCATTGTTCAAAGGCTTGTGGAACTCAAACCGGATCTTAAGAAATTACAAAATGCTTCACTTTCCTCTTTAGATTAATACTTTCTATCATTTTGCTTTATTTATTTCCATGGGCAGCAATAATAAAAGAAGCCATTTCATTAAACTATCAAATCCAAATGTATTATTCTGCCTTATTAGTTTATATAACATATATAAATTTTCTGGAAGATTTTAAGCTCTGGTCATTTTCCAAGTATGATTATTCCTTAAGGTTTTAGGCTAACATGATGCAGAGCACTTTTGGTAATTGGAGTAAAATAAAAGCCCAAATATGTTGCTCCAACTAAAAATGTATAAATTTGCTGAATTTTCCTGAATTGAATCTGAAAACACACAGTAATGGATAACTTGCCAAAGCTGCCTTTACAAAGGCAAAATCAAGTTTGGGTTGAAAATGACTTCGTATGGAGATGTGTGTCTTCTAGAAACCTCTGTGTCATATGCAGGCATTTTCCCTAAATTAGTGACTAATGAGCATGAATCAAAGACTTGTTTCTACAAATGGTTCTAGGCGCTTACATCATTCCCCTTGTTTGGCACAAAGGAGTGTTTAGCCCTAGGGAGTGGGTAAGTAAGCAGCCTGATGATTAACTTTCATTAAACTTGGTTATTTCAATAACTTATCCATTGTCGTAGTGAAGGTAAGATCTAGATTATGTATACAACGAATCCTTCTTTCTTAAACAATCTGTGGCAGCCAGGAGATTTTTTTTAAAGGCACTTTGATTAAATTTGTAATTGTTTCTCCAGCCAGGAGGAGTCACTGGCTTCGCTCCTCCTCCCTTTCCTTTTAATGAGAGCAGCTTAATTAGAGCTGTTTAGTATATGGCAGCCAGGCATGAGGTGAACACTTTGTCTGGGAGGGATAGAGAGGGATCTTTCAAAGTTATCTGTGTATTTTCAATCTTTGACTGTCCCATCTTGAGACAATATTAAGAAGAGAAACTTGGCTATAACAATCATTTAGTCCCATCCCATCCTTGCAAAAGAAATAAAAACCTAAAACACAGAATCCAAACAAGTGTTTTGTGAAAGACTTGGACAAACGTGCTTTCTGCTCCTATGCTCCCTCTTTTGGCAAAAACTGGAAGTACTTTCTCGGCAAACACGGATAATTTCACAATTTCCTCTCTAGAATTGCTGAGCGACTTGAGTAACCAAACTTGGTTTACTGCTATGGAAATTCACTATTCAGAATTCGGGAGGAGATTAAAGATTTCTGCTTTTCAGTGAAAGTAGTAGTTTCCACCTCGGTTCAGAGTGTAACAGCAGGTTCCCTGCAGGGCTGCCGCTTGACCCTGCACGTGGCACACAGCCATAGAACTTTGGAGCTTGAAAAGAACCTCAGAATGAGTCGTGCAATCATTTATTAAACCGGGACCTTCGAGAGCTCTCTCTCAGTACCGCGGCTATTGCAGCAGACCACTTTCCAGCCACAGTAGAGTAACCGCAATGCGGCTCACTCCTCACGAGGGAGCCTGTTTCATTGTTAAAGAGCACCGCCTGATTAGTCTCTTGGTTCTAAAAATGAAGCAAACTCAGATTGGGAAGGAAGTTTTTTTAAAAAACAGCAGTTAGGCAAAGCAAGATTGAACAAATTAACTCCCTGAAGCTTTGGAATCATAATCATGATGATGATGATGATGATGATGATGATGATGATGATGATAGCAGCTAACACATTCTTGGACCCTCAGTATATACCAGATACTGTCTAAATGCTTTATGTGTATGAACGAATGTAACTCTCACAGCAACCCTAGGAGGTAAGTATTATCACCCCCATTCAATAGATGAGGAAACTGAGGTACAGAGAAACTTCCACAGTATATCACACCACTAATACCTGTGGCAGAGCCAGGGCCCAAAACCTGTGCTCTTCACTATTGCGGTGTAGGTACTACAGTGTGACCCATGGATATACTGGCTGTGTATATGCAGACAGGTTGATGTCCATTTAATGAACTATAATACATGTGAAATTATAATTTTAAAAAATGTGTTCACTTACTATGTGCCTAAAGGAAAAAAAAAACTTTAGTAAATGTTTAAAAATAAACTCTACCAACCAGATGTGGAAATTCCGCTAAATGAATGTCAAGTAAATGCAAAAAGAAATTTAGACATAGAACAAATGGAAGCTGTATAGGTTATAATTTAAATCTTTCTCTTTCTCTGTGAAAGTGTTAAAATCATATATATCTCTTGCTCCTGGACATATAGATAGACTCCAGTTCTTACTTTATGAACAATGCTGCAACACAACTTAAGAGTTGAAATACAATACAATATTAAACAAAACCACAAAATTTCTTTAATTTGGTCAAATCCAAAATCCACTGAATAGTTTTACAGACATTTCTTGCCTCCCTCTATGAAAATGCCAAAGCTAAATCAAAGAAATTAGCAAGATATTACTTTCTTAATTGGAGAATGAAATTGTAAATTCATTCATTCATTTTTTTATATACAAATATTTATTGTCTTCTGGGTGCCTGACATTGTGCTAAGTACTAAAATATAAAGTGAGGGGCGCCTGGGTGGCGCAGTCGGTTAAGCGTCCGACGTCAGCCAGGTCACGATCTCGCGGTCCGTGAGTTCGAGCCCCGCATCAGGCTCTGGGCTGATGGCTCAGAGCCTGGAGCCTGTTTCCGATTCTGTGTCTCCCTCTCTCTCTGCCCCTCCCCCGTTCATGCTCTGTCTCTCTCTGTCCCAAAAATAAATAAACGTTGAAAAAAAAATTTAAAAAAAATAAAATATAAAGTGAACATGATCTGGTTTTGGCTTTCAGAGAGCTCACAGTCTAGAAGATTCTAATACTTTGTAGCAAAAATTAAAAAGTTCTTTTATATGTAAAAAAATCAAGGAGCTCAGAGGAAGAAGCGATTAATTCTGACATGGGGGACTGAGGTAGGACTTGTGCTGGGTTTGTAAGGAGGAGTTAAGATTTTGATAGCCATGGGAAAGGAGGAAGATGTAAAGGCATTTAAGAAAATGGCATGCTCAGGAAGTGACAAGAAGTCTAGTATGGCTCGTAAAGTTACCCATTAGGGAGAGAAAGGAGCTTCTGTCACGTGCCAAGCCCTTGTGCTCTGTAATTTGTGTGCTGGGCACCCAGCTAAACTCTGTGAAAAGGTACAATAAATGTGTCAGACACGGCCCTGTCATTAACAGGACTACGATACATTAATTTTTTTAAAGGACTACAATACGTTAGACAGCAGCAAACATACTGAAACCTAATAAACAAGTGCTGAATTCTGTGTTGCTATCGAAGTTCAAACAAAATGGAGATCTAGAGAAATCAAAGAGGAATCAAGGAGGTCTGATCAAGGAGGGAGGAATGATCAGAGCCTGGAAAGATAAGGATTTGGACAGGTGAATGGGAGAGCATGAGAGGGCAGCAGGGATGAAACCAGCAGGTGCTCATTGGCCCTTTGCTGCATCCAGCTTTGTATCAAGCATATGAAGCGAGAAAAGGCGTGTCCTCTCCTTCCAGGGAACTTGAAGTCTAGTTACCAAGATGGAAAATGGAAAAACGTAACCAATGGTTGAAGTAGTTTACAGCACTGGATTATCCAGTGGGCAAACTGATACACTCTGAACTTTCTGAAAGTGTTTGATATTTCAGAGATCAAAGAAGTTTTCATTAGGAAAATCAGAGCTATTAGACTTCCTTACACTCTTCTCAGGGTTTAGGGTCTCAAAGTTTTGATTCAGCTTTTTGGAAGGGGATCAAGAGTTAACAGACCTAGGACGTTCAAAGGAAAAAACACTTTGGGCTGGAACAATTTGGGCAGGCTGGAGAGGGACATGCAGATACAAGTTAACTCTTCTGGCCACAAGGGCAGAATGTGACTCAGGGAGGAAGCAAGAGCTTGTGGGGAAGAGGAAGCCCTGAGAAAGGAATGCCCTGAAGTACTAGCCAGACAAGGCTGGAGGGAATCAGGAACAAGTTAGAGGTGGAGAAGCAGTTGGAAACCAAACTGCTGAAGGTTTTGAGTTCGTGCAATTCCAAGTTCTGTCCATCGGTGTATGCTAATCGGGAGTTGTTAATATCCCTGCTTCCCTTATCATGATTTCATGATTATCATGGGTAACATGATTTTTTTTTTTTTTATGACAAAGGAGAGGCAATAAGCCAGTTATTTATTGCTTTGCATTTAGGGAGATATTTTCTACACTAACTCAAAGATTCAGCATGTTATTCTTTGATTCAGGTTACAACTCTATGTCATTTCTATCATCACTTTTTTGTTCCATGTAACATTTTCAGATGTGTGAAACAGATTTGATAATTCCAGGGAACTGAGCTTAGAAGCAGTATATGTAAAAGTTACACTTCTGTTGAGAGACATTTTTATAAGTTTATATGATTTTCTATATATTAAAAAATGTGAGAAAAGATTTCAGAGCTGGTGTTTAACTGCACTTGATTTCTTTTTCTTGAGAGTAGGAAAAAGAACTCATTTTTTGTTGTAGTAATTGCCAAGTCACCAAGCAGAGCCTCCATGCTCAGAGACCCACTTGCTAGTGACTTTGCAGTGTCAAACAAATGTTCAACTTTTATTCTGACACTTCTTGAAGAATTTGATTGAAACTATATATGTCCAGATAACACTCAGCAAAGTGCCCTTCTTGCATTTGTTTCAAGATATATTTGGAAACAAGAGAGATGACCTTGGATGCAGCTGCTTTTCCAATTTAGGACTTCTCTCTGGGTCTACTGAATAATATTTCCCAGCATTGAAAATTCAAAGGATGGAAAAACATTTTAGTTACTATATGCCATAAGCCCTATGATAGAGGATTTTTCCCCCAGCAATATGTTCTGCCTCTAAAAGAATGATATATTTAGACCACAAACTCTATGCTAGCTTTCTAACCATCTATTTCAAAATACATTCAGGAACACATTTGCTTTTCATCAGAGCGCCTTTTTGTAATCTAAATTGAGCTGCCTTGCTTTTTAAAATATTTTAGCATCTAAGAAATAAAAAATATCAAGCAGTTAACCCTTCGCCTTTGCTT